AAGAGATAATAGAATAAGTTGCCTAATCATAAAAACAGATACACAAACAAAAACAATGCATTGAGTCAAGAAGATACAACATTCAACATACTAAACTGGAAATAATGTATTAAAAATACATCTGCAGTAGCTTAAGAGATAATGAAGGGGTGCAATGCTGGTCAACAGATAGAATCTGTTTACCCCTTAAATTTACAAGTGATCTTTTAGAAAAGCAGTTTGGAAAGCTGAAACAGGAATGAGGAGGTACATGTTTTATCACTATTTAAAATTATAATCTGATAATTAGAAAAATTTGTTCAACTTTTACAAATATTTTTTTTATCTCAAATTGTTTAATATACTTTTAGAAAGCTTAATAACCATTAAAGGTCCAAAAATGAGGTAAAGAGCGACGAAGATTTTTTAGCAACCATTCATAATTTATGATTGAAATTTTGGCTAGTAATATATTATATGTGTGATTGTGTCGTGGAGTGAAAAATTTAATTCAATTCCAAAACTCGATAATATTAGCATTTTTGTTAATTTGAGCAAAAACGGGGTAATTTAAGGGTACAAAATTTTTAAAAAATACTAAGCGAGAAAAGCAGTAAAGATAATTCTAGTGTATGTTGTAAATACTAATATAATATATAAGTGGGGCATATCTCAAATCAATTTGATGATTAATTTTGAAACTATCTCCGTCACTAGCCCAAAAAACATGGTTTTGAGAAAAATGCAAGTAAAAAAATAAAGAAACAAAGTTCAGAAATCTTCACTTTTTTACCAATTTATACCAACTAATGTTTTATTTTGATCACAAAAAATATTTCTAATGATAAGATATGGTAAGATTGCTTTTCTGCTTCCGAAACTTGTTTGGTGTCCTTACATATACTACAAATTTGCCCATTGTTACTAACTATCATACCAAACTCATTTAAAAATTATTGTCCATCATAGAACTTAGAATAGCTGATCCTACTTCAATAATTAGCTGTTCTTTCAACATCTATACAGTTTAGAAATCTCATCAAATTTGATTTAGAGATTCATTGAACCTCTGTTTTTTTCCATGTAAAAATTTTTCAGGAAGCTATCAAAAGAAATTACTGTAAGTATTGGTTTGGTAATGTTTTTGGTAACATTTTTCAAATATGTATCGTTTTTCCAGCCAATTTTTTTGTTGGAATCTGTACCATAAGCATTTTGATGCACATAAAAAACTGATGGCAGTCTTTCACCCAATTCACAAAATGCAACAACATTAGGGTTTATGCCAAGAAGATTTTGCCAAACACACTTATGTTTAACTAGATCATTTTGTTTTGCATTAGAGTTGTTCTTAGCTATAGTAGTAGATAAATAAACTTAGAGTTCTTTTTAGCAGATTTTAGTAGAATAATAAATAAACAGTTTCTCATTAACAAGCATTGCAACAAATTTATAGTCTAATACCTAGGCTAACCTTTTTAGAAGAATCAAATTGTAAATTTACAAAATCTTCACATTCTGGGCATTTAAAACGCATAACCATGTTTTGAGGTAAAACAAATCTCATAATAAAGTTGAAATCTTCATTTATATTTAAAAAATACTGTATAACTTCTTTATTCGACAACTTATTGAAGGAGGATGAGCCTGGAATATTTTCAATTGAACTTTAATCTGAAAGTATAGCAGTAGTTTCTTTGATAGCTACTCCGCAGAAATTTTTTTAATTTTAATATTCATATATAATTAATATCATTGTATAGAACTTGAGAAGATTTAAAAAAATGATGGGTCGTTCGGCCTTTGAAGTTATGCGAATCAAAAGTTATAAAACTTTTTGTAGTGGAAAAATAGGGCTTAAGTATGGAAAACTTGCAGTATTATGGCACCGAAAATGAAATTTTTAGGTCATATTGACTTTTGAATAACTTTTGAACCATTATTACATTTGACTTGAAATTTGCCATAGTGACCAAACAACTATTAGAAAATAAAATTCTAAATTTTTTTTTTTTAAATCTGTTGGGATAGTTCAGAATCAACTATTTTACAGAGTGAGGATTTTTAATGATTTACTTACTTTTGGGGTCATATTGATTTTTGAATAAATTTTGAGCCATTGTTAAATTTGACTTGAAACCTTTAAATAGTGATCCAATTTTTATTTAATCTGTCGAGGCTATCAAGAATCTTTCATTTTACAGAGTGAAGGGTTTTTACTTTTTGATTATGCTTTTGAGAAAAAAATTCAGGGTTACGTTATAATTATTCGATGCAAATATGCATAAAGGAATAATGGAATCCAAGTAATACATCGTTTTAAAAAAAACGATGTTATTGTTAAAGTTATTGCCTAATATATAAACGATGTTATTGTTAAAGTTATTGCCTAATATATAGACCGGTCATTAAATTACTGCAAAAGGGCTGCAAACCAATTTGATAAATTTGACTTTGAATATTATTGATATTTTCAAACCGTTATTACACTTGATTTAAAATTTTTTATATTGATACAAAACTATCCGCAAATTAAATGCCATAATTTTTTTTAAATCTTTCGGGATTATCCATAATTGTTTATTTTACAGACTATAGTGTTTTTACTTATTTACATAGTCTTGGAGAACAAAATTTAGGGTTATATTATAAACTTCATGCAAATATCCACAAAGGATTATGGAATATAACAAAAAACAAAAACAAAAAAACAACAATAACAACAAAAAAAATCTTTCAGAATCCATCTTTTATCTTTCAGAATCCATCTTTTCTATTAATACATCTTTTTAAAACTATTACTTCATTTACAGACCAGCGAGTAAAACATGCGTAAGGCGTAAAATATGCGTAAGGCAGTATTTTACTTAATTATTCTGACAGATTTCAAAGCATTGAAATCTATCAGAATTTTTCAGAATTACCTATTTCGTTCTTTAATAAAGTAAAAAATAAATTTTTAGTACTTACATCAGCAATAGCAGGAGTAACAGCAGAAAATCAACCTAAAAGTGTAATAAATTTATTATTAAAAACACGAATATACAATGTGTTAAAAATATTTTGTTAATTCGATTTTTAAATTTGTAAAAAGTGGAGATTTTTTAATACAAAATTCGGGTGTTTGAGGGAAAAAGGTCCACTTCAATATTTAAAAAATCCAATAAATTCTTGACAGTATCAAATGGTTTTTCCAGCAATAATTTGGAAGCTAAAATTAAAAGTAAACCTAGGTAAAAGTAACTCAAAACAAAGAAAATAAGGGATAGATTAATAAAATTTGCTTTCGATTAATAAAAGTATTAAAATACAAAAAGTTTGTGACTATGTTAAAAACTAAGGGAAGTAGGCCTAATTATTTCAAAATTGTACTATAACTTATGAATAATATAAGTTTTTACACAAATTCATTTTTGTTCACTTTTGAACTTTTGAAGATGATATGATTTTTCATTTTTTGTTTTGAAAAAAACAGATTAGAGAAGGCCAATTTGTAATTGCAATAGTCTATTGAGTAGATAGATTATAACCAAATAGATATAGCCTATAACCAAACTTACAGTTTTGATAAACAATCCAAAGTCCAATCCAGAAAATGCCTTTAAATTTTTAAAAATTTCAATTTCAATTTCATTTTTAGAATACGAATAAGGATGTGAATAAGAAGTTTTCTTACTTTGAAAACAAATAAAAATGATGGAAAGAACAAAACCAAGATTTTTATACCATTTAAAGCAACAAAATTAAATTTAATGTATATGTTTTTGGGACACCCTAATACTTATCATTATACATCGAATTTAAACTAAAACTTAATGGAAATGAAGAAAAATAATGGTATTTAAATGCTGGTCAATTTTCCATTTAAAAAATTTTATTAGAAAACTATTTTTATAATCACTTTAGTTTTTTTTTTGAGTTTTTTTTTTTTTTTTGATTATTACAATTGTTCTTCTCTTATTTCTTAAGCAAAATAAAAAATTAGAAAGATTTTTGTACTGCTATGCATGCTAGTGTTTTATTTTCATAAAATGAAAATAATATGTAACTGTCCTTTTGAAAATAATATATATATATATATATATATATATATATATATATATATATATATATATATATATATATATATATATATATATATATATATATATATATATATATATGTATATATATATATATATATATATATATATATATATATATATATATATATATATATATATATATATATATATATATATATATATATATATATATATATATATATATATATATATATATATATATATATATATATATATATATATATATATATATATATATATATATATATATATATACAGGGGCGGATCTAGGGTACGTCTAGTACGTCTTAAGATGTACCCAAGAAAAAAAATTAAATTAAAAAAAAAAAAAATTAATTTACGTTTCAATTATAAAAATAACTTTTTTGGTTAACTGTCAGCTCAAATAAGATTTAATTTTATAGGCACTTGTGAAACAAAAAATACGAACGGTTCTTGTTTAAAGTTCTTGTTAAAAAGATATCTGTCTTTGCCGGAGGTTTAAGCAATTCTTGATAAATAATATTTAATTAATTAAACGAATGGACGTCCCCAATTTTATTTTATTATAAAATAAAAAATTATTTTAAATTTGTATTTGGTTTGTTAAAACAATAAATAAATGATATCTTTAGTGATAACAATTTTCGGACGTCCCCAAATTAGTACACCCTTATTAAAATATTGTCAAAATCTTTTGTTTTGTGACCATCAGGAGGTAAAACTAATGATAATACCCTATAAATAATAAGATACACCAATAGACGTCCCCAATATTATTTTATTTTATTATTTATCTTTATATTTAATTTAGTTTTCAATATTTAATTTCTAAATACTCGGTTTCTTTTACAAAAAAATACTGCCGGACGTCCCTTCGTTAATACACCCTGAAATACATGCTTTATTCCTAATATTTAAAATGTTGTTTAATGTTAAAATTTCAAGCATTATTTGTGTGTTCGAGTATTAATTTAAAATGTCACTCAATCAAGAAGTTAAAAACATTATGCTACAAAATGATGAAACAAAATTGATCGCTTTGAAAGATATATTACAAAAAAATATTAGTTCTTGTAATAATACGATTCTTGTCGACTCTTAGGAAGAAGGAAAAACTCTTAAAAATTTTGAAATCTATCTGCCAAAAAGTTTTAAAGAAAAACATAATGGCAACTATGTTGTTTTAAGGTAAAGGTATTTGTTCAAATTCCATGATTTTTTAAATAACTTTTTGGTTAGTTGTAATGTTATATTGACTGTAAGCTAGTTGAAAATACTTATAAATTTTTTATATAAGTTCATTAATTATTATATTTTATGTATATCTCAGGTCTCAATCAACTGGAAACTGTCTGTACAGTTCTATCTCCTTACGTCTTCAAGGAAATAACTGTATAGTTAACGATTTAAGATTACAGACCTCAATTGAGCTATTCTTAAATGCCGAGTTTTTTTCTAACCATCCAACTTTTCATTATGCTTTTTTTAACAATACTAGCTCTTTTCTTTGCTATGATAACATTCTTCCTTTATCAGTATCACTAAATTCTTTGGATTCTGGAAAAAAAAGAAAAGATTTAGTTCAAGAAGAAGCTATTAACAATTGTAACAATGAAAACTGGTCTTCTTTCCTTTGTTTTCTTGCATTATCAAGTGTTTGCAACAAGAAAATAGAATGTTTGTATCCAGATTTTGGTCTACAGAAGTATAAAATTTTATTCAGCTCAACTATTTTACCTCGTATAACTTCCTTAAACACCATTGAGTCTTTACATCTCCTTTTTTGTTATGAAGGTGTATTAAATGATTTTTCCGCTCCTTTTCAACACAACCATTATACCCCTGTGATAATAAAAGAAAACTTAAAACGAAAAAATTTAAATAAAAGCTGCAAAATGTCGCAGACTAAAATAAAATTTTATTTCGAGACCAAACATCAAGATAATAACTATTCGTTGGGCAATTTAAAAAGTAAAACAATGAAAGTCTCTAGTCAACCCCCATTATCATTATCAAATTTTAGTAAAATTACATGTTGCGAATCATTTCTTTACCTTCCAATAAATATGATATTGGTTATTTGGTTTCTAACTATACTAGTTATTCAAGTATTGCAAAAACCTTGAGTAGTTCTGAACTTCAACATTTAGTTAAAGATGTTTTTGTACCTTGTAAAACATTTTCTTTTCCTAAAAATCTTAATGGGCGAAGTTTTCAATTTATGTGGATAGAAAAATTTCCATGGCTCACATATTCGAAAATATTCGATGGAGCCTTTTGTTTGCCATGTGCACTTTTTGGGTGTAATTTTCCATCTGAATGTAGTTTAGTCGAAAGATTATTTTTTAAGCCTTTTGATCGCTGGAATGAGGCTTCTCGTTACTTTCAGAAACATGCATTTGGCAAAAACAATAATAAGTCTGTCTGCAGAAATAAAGGCTTACCTAAAAACTGCTGAAGTTTTATTTTCATTGTCGTCGATTTGGTCTTCTAAAACAGAATCAATAGATATTACATCTCAAAAAATAGTTCAATCACAGGTTTCTAAAAACCGACAGTTATTACAACCAATTATTGAAACAATTATTCTCTGTGGACGTCTTGGTCTTTTTCAGTACATTCAATGTGTTCCTCTAACTTTTGTTGTCAGGTAGGTGAAAGATTGAAAAAATATGATATCTCTTTAACATATGCCAGAAGATTCTTGATATATTGCAGTAGCTGAAGCAAAGCCAAGAACTTCATTTATTTCCAAAAACAGAGATAATACTCCTTCTGAATCTATTTCTGATTATTTTAAGTTAGTTTTCACGATTCCTTTATTAGACCATCTAAGTGTTGAACTAGACACAAGGTTTGATGATACTACCTTAAAATGTTATAAATCACTTGTGCTAGTTCCTACAAAAATGATTTCAGTAGTGCAATGTTCTCATGACACCAGTTGGAAAGACTCCATCATATCTTTCAGTGACTTTTACGCAACAGACTTACCGAATCCGCTTGTTTTGTCTGGTGAGCTTGATTTATGGGAAGCCTTCTGGTTAAATTTTGAAGGAGATGTCCCTTCTAATATTTCTGAGACGTTAAAAGCGATAAATTTTCCTGGTTTTGAAAACATAAAAGTTTGTCTTAAGTTACTTGCTACCTTTCCATTAACTTCATGTGAGTGTGAGCGGACATTTTCTTCACTTCGGCGCCTAAAAAATTATATGCGAAGCACCATGGTTCAGGACCGTCTAAATGGTTTAGCATTAATGAATATTCATTCAGAAATAGTTATAGATATCAATAAAGTCATTGATAAGTTTGCCACTATTAATCGTAGATTAACTTTCAAATAAATATAAAATATATTAAAAAAATTTTTTTTTTAAATAAAAAAATGCAAAATACTAAAAAAAAAACAGTGCAAAAAAAGTCAGCTTCTTTTGCCAATGGCAAAACAAACGGCTATTTTCATAGCCACACACTTTTATAAAACATTATTTGGCATAAAGGAAATATTAACATACATTGAGTTGCATACATGTTGGTTTCAGGTATATCGTTTTTTTTATGCTATGTTGAAATGATTATATTGTAAATGTTTTTATCTTTTGAACTGATTTTTTCAGATTTTATATATTTTGCAAGCATCAATAGAATTAAGATTTTAAAATCTACTTTTGCTATGCAAAATGAAATACTAAGATTGTGGCAATTTCTGTATATATAATTCAACATTAATTATTATAATATATAGTTATTTCTGTTATTTATATTTGTTACAATATAAACAAATTATATAATTATTTACAATAAAAATATAAAATGTGTAAGTTTATAATTTAATAATGAAATGTGTAAATATAAATCTAGTTTGTCATTATAAGTTTGCAAATATTATGTAAACATAATTTTACTATGGTAAGGTGCCCAAGCGATATCCTTGCGTATTTTTAGGCCTATATATATATATATATATATATATATATATATATATATATATATATATATATATATATATATATATATATATATATATATATATATATATATATATATATATATATGTATACATATATATATATATATATATATAAATATATATATATATATATATATATATATATATATATATATATATATATATATATATATATATATATATATATATATATATATATATATATATATATATATATTTATATATATTAACAGGGCCGTCACTAGGAGAGGGGGGTGTCTAACCCCTTACCAAAACTTTGTTGAAAAATAAGTCGGCAAATTTGGACTTGTAGTCTGCAAGTTTGGAACTATAGTCGGCATATGTCAGTAAACGAGAATCATACGTCACCTCCCCCCCTACCTCTTTTTTTTCTTCGGGACGGCTCTGTAATATATCCCCTCCAACTCCGGAATAGTTAAGGGGGGGAGGGGGGAGAATGAAATGTTGCTCGTAAAAAAATCAGATGTACCCAAATAATTTCCTGGATCCGCCCCTGATATATATATAATAGTAATATATATATATATATATATATATATATATATATATATATATATATATATATATATATATATATATATATTTTATATATCTTATACTGCTGAGTTAGGTGAGCATGATGATGTCATATTCACCTAATGTCAAACAGCCTGCTGCCGGGGGCTTCAGTACATACATCGACTGACAAATAGCCTGACTCGCCGTGGAGTGCTGCTACATCGACTGAGGGTTTGGTATGGGTCAGCAACCTTTTCATATATATATATATCTATTAATATTTTTCTAATTATATATGTATATATATATATATATATATATATATAATATATATTCATATATATATATATATATATATATATATATATATATATATATATATATATATATATATATATATATATATATATATATATATATATATATATATATATATATATATATATATATATATATATATATATATATATATATATATATATATATATCGTCCTTTTTAGCCACTATTTATTTTTCTAATTAAGTGAAAAGTAGACATAATCAAATTTCAAAAAGCAAATGCAAAAATTTATTTAAAATTTAGTAAACAAACACAAAAATTAAAACAAAAAACGTCACAAATTACGCATATAGTAATTTTTAAACAAAAAATCTAGGAATTAAATTTTCAAGAAAACATAAATAAATACTTGATTTAGGGAGAGGAAAGGTCATACTTGCCTTTTTCACAGGGAACTTTTTTAAAAAAAGTTTTTTTTTTTTTTTACCTAAATCAACCAAACGTTTTTAAACGTTGAGAACTAAAAGTTTTTGTATAAATTTGAAAAAAAGTTCTTCTTTTCATTCGATTCATGATCTTTTTTTAATCTATATGGAAATTTTCATGCAAATTGGATGTGTTTTAGTACTTAGTAAATCTTACCTTCAAAAGTTTTGTTTGAAAAAACGTATCCGCGGCAACTTTTTGTAACAAAAGTGGTCTCAAGATACTGATAATATTTGAGTGAAGCCATCTAAACATAGTACTTTCTATGTGTGCATTGAATACTATTGTAATTGTATGTTAAATTTTTTTTATTTTTTTGTTTTATTGGTGATGCACCAAGCAATGTTACCATAATTGAAAAAAACAATTAATAAATGAGAAATAGAATTATTTCAATCATGTTTGATTTAGGTCAGGTTTTGACCTTTAAGTATTCCGATATTTTTAAAATCTTTATTTTCAATTAAGTTGATGTGATTTTTCTACGATACATTTAAGTTTAGGCGAATACCTTGAAACTTCGTTGTGTTTTTTCTTTCCCAATTGCCAATACTTTGGTGATTTATTATTTTAATTTTGAATAATGATCTGTAAAGAAAAAACTTTTTCATTTTGAGTGTAAAAAAGATTTATATATCCTAAAGATTTTTATTTTCAAGTATACATATTTATACCTTATATTTACTTATTTTTATCAAACGACTAAAAAATGTCTTGAACAAGATTAGAATGATCAGTAAAATGAGCTTTTTTGAGTTCAATTGTTTTTTATAAAAAATATTATGTTTCTGAAAAAGAAAATAATTTATCGTACATTATTTGTTTTAGTATTTAAGAAAGGCAAAGAAGAATAGATATTTAGGTTTAATATTAAAAGAAAAATTTGGGTCTAATATTTAAAAAAATAAGAAGCATCTCCCAAAAACTGCTAAA